ATGCATCATCTCCACTTTCCATCATGTAAGCTGCCTGTGGGCACAGCACATGTCTAAGCGAGGACAAGTCAGAACCCAGCCGCTACCTCCTTTTCCCTCATTTGGAGCCCCTCAGCGCCCCGCGTATGAGAGGGGACGTCCCCGCAGGGCGGTCGTGTCACCGTGACGTGTGCCCTGTGCCTGGCGAACACCCGGCCTCTCTGACTGCTGGCTCCTCCTCGCTGCTCCGACTCCGGGAGAGGGGTCCCCGTGAGGCTGAGCGCGCAGGTCCTAGGATGTGCTCCTTCTGACTACCAGAGCACCTCCCCCCTGCTTCTCCTCCCCCCCCCCCCGCCCTTGTCCTCGGCGGCTCGTGGAGCCATGGACTGGGTCTGTCCTCACAGATGCGCTTCCACAGTCAGTCTGACACCGGGTGGGTCCGCATCTCAAATCCTCCACCCCCGCGGCCAGGCAGCCCCTGGGCTCCTGCTTGGCAGCCAGAGCCACCTGCCATCCCCTTTGCTCCAGCTTCTGACTCGGCCCTCCTGGGGCGTCCGGTGCTCCTCGCCTCCTCTTGGTTCCTCCGCAGACAGAGCCGTCTTCCTGCACCTGCCCCACCCTCCACCTGCAAGCTTCGGCTTAGCCTGCCCTCTCCGCCTCTTCTGGGCCCCTGGTCCCAGCCCCTTCCACAGCGGCCGTCACAACCTCCTGCACTTTGGGACATCACATCAGCCCTCCCTGGTAAATGACGGCTGCAGAAACGGGAGCTGGCCAGGGCTAGTGGGCACGGGTAGACGGTTCCTGCATTGTTCCCAGCATCCTTTATTTTATTTTATTTGAAAGGCACAGTTACAGAGAGAGAGAGAGAGAGAGAGAGAGAGAGAGAGAGATCGGTCTTTCACCTGCTGGTTCACTCCCCAAATGAACCCAATCGTTAAGGCTGGGCCAGATCCAAGCCAGGAGCTCCATCCGGGTCTCCCACGTGGGTGCAGGGGCCCGAGCACTCGGCCCGTCTCTGCTGCTTTCCCAGGTGCATCAGCAGGGAGCTGGATCGAAGCAGAACAGCCAGCACTCGAACCGGTGCCCAAAGGAGATGCTGGTGCAGCAGGCGCTGATTTTAACTGCTCTGCCCGCCCCCTCCCCCACCCTTCCTACAACCACTGTCCACTTTGGGGCTTCATGTTCTACCCAGTACTAACATAAGATTCTGAGGGATGAGTTTTAGAGGAAGAAAAGAAACAGCCCAGTAGAATCACACAGACGCCAGGGGGCGATGATCCGCCCTGTGCTGAAGTTAGCGTGCTCTGAAATACGTACCAGGTGGGCTCTGAGGATGGCGCTACCTGCATTCCAAGTCGCTCACGGGGTGGGGGCAAGGCTCCCAGTGGGTGAGAAGGCTCTGCCCCTGCCCGCTTCCCTGGGAGCCCTGAGAGCAGAGCCTGGGCAGCAGGCGATCACAGAGGAGGAAGCAGCAGAAGAAAATATTGTGGAACCCTGACCCCTGCCAGAAGAAGGGGTACAGGATGAGGGGGAGGGGGCTATGGAGACCCAGCCATGGGGAATGAACCACAGGCACCTTCAGATGAACTTAGAAAACCGGGTGCCAGCAGTGTAGCCCTGGGCACTTGCAGTGCCGGCATCCCAAATCTGAGCCCTGTTTCAAAGCCGGGCTCCTGCGCTTCTGACCCAGCTCCCTGCTGTGGCCTGGGACAGCAGCAGAAGATGGCCCAAGTCCGTGAGCCCCTCACCCACGTGGGAGACCTGGAGGGAGCTCTGGGCTCCTGGCTTCAGCCTGTGGGAGTGAACCAGCGGAAGGTCTTTCTATCTGTGTATCTCTCCCTCTCTCTCTGTTGCTCTGCCTTTCAAATAAATCTTAAAAAAGAGAACTGTTGGCTCCCTGAGTTGGTTTCAGAAGACCATGGCCTCTAAGAAATAGAAACAGACCCTTAGTTGGCAAAAAAGGCTGCTGCCGAGGGCAACGTGGCCAGGACCAGGGGAACACTGGGGTGGCCGCAGGGCTGGAGGCGCAGCAGAGAAACAGTCTGTCCTGGAGAAAGGCAGCCCCAGAAGAGCCTTCGAAGGGATTTAGAGTGGCGAGGAGAAGGCATTTCACGGCTGCCCAGTGCACCCAGGAAGATGCAAAGGACTAAGTGGCACAGGGAGCAGGCACGGCTGGGTGAGGCTGAGCCTCTGTGCAGGCACGGGTCAGCCCCAGGCAGAAGCAGGGCACCTGCCACGGGACGCCGTGCGCGGGAATGCGCTCCCTGCGCAGCAGCCAGCAGGGATGCCCGCTGTAGCAGGTGGCAGAGAGCCCAGCTCCAGCGGGCTCGAGAAAGCAGGGGTCTGGGCAGACGAGACCCCCCCCCCCCCGCCCCAGCACCTGCACGTCCCACGGCCCTGGGGCGTCTGTGCAGCCTACACTGCAGAGTCCCACACGCTCACGCCTGGCCAGGCCAGGTCTGTTTGTTTTTAATGTGTGAACTCCTGCCACCAAACCGACCGCGTAGTCACGTGTGCCAGCCCGCGACAGCTCGGAAGGCCAGTGAGGACAGCATTTGGTGTCCGACGCTGCAGTCAGTCCCAGGAGGCTGCAGCCCTCGTGGGCGGCTCAGGGGAGCACAGCACGAGGCTCATGGTGACAGCCGATGGCCCTCATGCTGGAGCCCAGGGTGGGGTCAGCTGCGCCCAGGGTGGGGTCACTGCCTCCAGGGCAGGCTTACAAACGTGTCTTCGTCCTGTCACCAGAACCACAGGCACCCAAAACAACTCAGTGGCTTTGCAGAATGGTCAGCGCTAAGGGGCTGAAGAATTACGTTGCGTGATTTCAGATACAGCCAAACTCACTGCCATTTTTTCTAGCGAGGGACAGAGCAAGTGGCGGCAGAATTACGTGCTGCCGTGCTGTTCAGATGCCCTGGGAAGTGCTGGGATCAGCCTGGGCAAAGGGACTGGCAGAGCACGTGAGGAAAACCTAACAGAACATGCGCTGTGGCTCCCGCTTCCGGCTTTCACCTCCACATGTGTGGACACGCGTGTCCATATCTCATGGACTCAGGGACATCTATGCGATGGAGTCTGCAGTGAGCATGCAGTCCTCATGAATCCCCAGAGAAGGCACTGACTGGGGCTGGTGTTGTGGCCCGTGGCACCTGCTCCCATGTTGGAGCTCGGGTAGGGCCACTCCACTTCTCATCTAGCTCCCGCCAATGTGCCTGGGAAGGCAGCAGAAGGCGTGGGCACGGGCTGGCACCGCGGTGTAGCAGGTGAAGCTGCTGCCTGCGACACGGGCATCCCTCATGGGTGCCAGTTTGCATCCCGGCTGCTCCACTTCCAATGCAGCTCTCTGCTGTGGCCTGGGAAGGCACTGGAAGATGGCCCAAATGCTTGGGCCTCTGCCCGTGTGAGAGACCTGGAGGACACGCCCGGCTCCTGGTTTCGGCCTGGCCCAGCACTGGCCGTTGTGGCCATCTGGGGAGTGAGCCGGGGATAGAAGATCCCTTTCTCTGTCTCTATCCCCCTCTCTCTGTCACTCTACCTTTCAAACAAATAAATATATTTTTAAAAAGTTTATTTTTTCTCATAGAAAGGAACTGTGGTGTAGATGAAGGGTCACCCCCCACTGCCTGGGCCCAAGGCCGACCTTGCACCTGCTCCTGAGGACACAGAGCTGCGCAGGCTGAGCGGGGCTGGGCTCCAGGGTGCAAGGGGTGAGTGTGTGTCTGTGACTCTGTGTCCGTGTGCCCCTGTGTCCGTGTGTCTCTGTGTGTGTCTCTATGTGTGTGTGTCTCTGTGCCTCTGTGCCTGCGTCTCTATGTGTCTCTATATTTGTCTCTGTGTGTATCTCTGTGTGTGTGTCTGTGTGTGTCTCCGTGTGTTTCTGTGACTCTATGTGTCTGTCTCTATATGTGTCTCTGTGTGTGTTTGTGTGTCTCTATGTGTTTGTACCTCTCTCTGTGTGTCTCTATGGTGTCTGTGTGTGTCTCTCTGTGTGTGTTTGTGTGTCTCTGTGTGTTTCTGTGTGTCTCTGTGTGTGTCTCTTTATGTCTGTGTGTCTCTCTGTGTGTTTGTGTCTCTATGTGTGTCTCTGTCTCTGTGTGTCTCTGTATGTGTGTCTCTGTGTGTGTTTGTGTGTCTCTATGTGTTTGTGCCTCTCTGTGTGTGTCTCTATAGTGTCTGTGTGTGTCTCTCTGTGTGTGTTTGTGTGTCTGTGTGTGTCTATGTCTGTGTGTCTATGTCTGTGTGTCTCTCTGTGTGTTTGTGTCTCTATGTGTGTC